CCAAACCTTCAGAAAACTGAGGAATTTTTCCCTCCATGGTCCTCTTGTCCCTTTAAGGCTCCGTCCAGTCACGTGCTTGTTCTGCAGCTTTGTACTGAGCACCAAGCTGAGGGCTTGGCATGGTGCCGCGCTGTGCCCTGGGGACTCAGAGCTGAGCAATATGCACACTCCCTGTCCCTCCTAGGCGGTGGGCCTGTGTCATTGTGGAGCAGGAGAAGGGCGAGGTGCAAGGGAGCCTGGCATAGGCAGGTAGAGCCAGTCTGGGGGGCATGACAGGCCTCTCCTCCAGGACATGGCATCTGGCTGAGATTCACCCAGGCAAGCGCAGAAGGTCAGCAGGGAGGGTACCCACCGAGCAGCGAGGCATGAATGCTGCGGGGTGGTGTCTGATGTGGAGAAGGGTGGAGGGTTCCTTGGTCCTTCCTGGTCTTTGCCTTAGCTGGGGAACACAGGGCAGGTGTGCGACCCAGAAAGACCATGAGAGCAAGGGCTCCCGGGAAGGACACTGCAGCCCCCTTCCTCCTGTGGCAGGTATGAGAAGATGATTAGTGGTATGTACCTGGGTGAAATTGTCCGCAACATCTTGATCGACTTCACCAAGAAGGGATTCCTCTTCCGAGGGCAGATCTCTGAGCCACTGAAGACCAGGGGCATCTTTGAGACCAAATATCTCTCTCAGATTGAGAGGTGAGTGGGGATGGTTTTCTACCACCATTTGACCGTGAGATGGAGAGACCCCATTTCTCCCAGCCTCAGGCTCCTCATCTTTCAAGTGGGAATAATCCTACATTTAGTGGCTAGTGGAGGACTAAACGATGTCATGTGTGGAGTACATGTCACAGAGTAGATCCTTTAAAAAGAGACTGACTGGTCTATCATCACCATCATTGTCATTGTCATCTCTATCAATTTAATACAGATAAGACAAATATACCAGGAGAAGGAAAAAAAGTTGGGGAACACATCAGGTAGTCATGGCCAATACACAAACAGGGAAAAGTCGTCCTCCTTACTAGAGAAGAAAGCAAAGGAAACCAGGTGGCAATGGCTGCCTTAGGAAATGGTCAGAAGGTTTGAAAGTGCTCTTTTCTTCTGAGGACACTTGTGGCCGAATATCGTCCTGGCTGGAGAGTGAGCTGACCGTAACTTTCTGAAAGACATCTGCCAATGGGTATCAAAAGCCCTTTGACCCAGAAATACATCCTAAAGGGGGAAAAAAAAAATCAGAGTCACACACAGGATTTCTAAACAAGAAATTTCATCAAAAGGTTCCTTTATCATTGCAGACAGTTGCAAATAGCTTTCTCCAGACCGGCACACACTTGGTGCACACTTGGAGGGGAGCCCTCTGGCCACCATTCCCAGTCCTGTTCTCAGACAGGACTGTGGGGAGTTGCTCATCGGTATCACCCAGGAATAAAAGTCGGTCCCCGGCTGCAGGCCCTGCTTCATCCAGTCCCCTGGCTTTTTCTGTTCGCTGCAGTGACCGGTTAGCGCTGCTCCAGGTCCGGGCCATCCTCCAGCAGCTGGGTCTGAACAGCACGTGCGACGACAGTATCCTGGTCAAGACGGTGTGCGGGGTGGTGTCCAAGAGGGCTGCGCAGCTGTGCGGGGCTGGCATGGCGGCCGTGGTGGACAAGATCCGGGAGAACAGAGGGCTGGACCATCTGAACGTGACGGTGGGCGTGGATGGGACACTCTACAAGCTGCATCCGCAGTGAGTGAGGCTTGGGGGGCGGTGAGGGGATGGCGGAGGGCGCTGGGGGGCGAGTTCCTGAGTCCCCTGGAGGATGACAGGTTTCAGGGTGTGGTTCCCGTCTGGGAAACTCCTCACTGGGCAGGGCTGCCTATGACTGTGCGCGTGTGGACAGGGCAGGGGTGGGGGGCGGGGGATGAGCACCTTTAGGGTTTGGGGTCCTGGGGAAGGGAAGAAGGCGCTGACTTGACCCCCTTACTTGACACAGTGGCTGGCAGGCGTGACCCCCTCCCTGCTCTCCTGGGCTCGCTGAGGTGTGGGTGGGGTGGCCTTGCCCATTCAGCCTGGCCAGGGTCAGCTTGGCTGAGAGGCTGTGCTGGGTGAGTCCAAAGAGGAAATGGAAGAGGGAGGAGGGCCCATCGTCTTGTTCACCTGCCAAATCAAACTTGGAAGGGCAGGTGCAGCACTGGCCCTGGACTCTGGGACAGGGAGGGGCCCGAAGTGACCTACTTTGGGTGAAGTGTCTGACACCCCATGCCAGGGAAGGACCTGCTCTTTGATCCACTGCGTGTTCCAAAGCTTGGCTCTTAGGAAGAGAGTGGCCATGCCTAAACTGGGGGTGCCTTGATCAGTGCGAGTAACACTGCTGCCAGGATCTCGGGACCCTCGGCCACCTGGGCCTTAGGGGCACCCTATTCAAAAACACCTCACTCAAGGCCACAGAGAGATTACTCGCTTACCTCAGGCCTGTGGCTGGGGTGAAGCCATCTGCCGAGCTCCGTCCTCACCTGTCTCTCCGCCTTCTTCGCTGCCCTCACCGTCACCAGAGGCAGCACCCGGGGAGTGGTCTAGGCTTAGTGGCTGTGTACACTTGGATTTGACCTTGGCTTCACCTTTCAGAGGCCATGCTCCATTGCTGAATCTCTGACAGTTCCTATCTCCGTCCCATCTTCCTGGTGGCGTAATAGCCATTGACAGGGCTGGAAGTCCCCTCTATGAAGTATGGGGCACCTAGTAGGTGCTCAATAAATGGGACTTCCCCTGAGAACCCCATTGTCCCCAACATCCTCAGCCTGTCCTGTCTTTCATGTTCAGCACAAAACACAAATGCCTAGAGTCACCTCACTTAGAGACTGTCCCTTGCTGGGGTGCTGCCTCTCTTGGCTGCGGGTGCTGGGTGGATGGCTGCTGGGACGGGAACGTCTGTTCCCAGGTAGCCTCCTGAACTAGCCAGCACTTGGCCAGCGTGGGCTTGCCCGAGCGGTCCCTGCTGGGCCTCAGCCTCCTTTTTGGCCTTCAGGTTCCCCAGGAGCCCCAGGCTCTGGGATGGGGGTTCCCTATGCCCCCGGCCTCATAAACTGTCGGGAGTCGCGCGTTTGGGGATGCTCAGTTGTGCCTCCTTCTGGAAGTCGCGGTAACAGGATTAGCGGTGTCGCGCTCTCCTCGGCCAGCTGTGGCTACTTTAATCCGCCCCCGCCCTCCTGATTTGGGGTGCTTTCCTTCGCCTCCTTTCCCACCACTTACATTTTCCTGATTTGATTTTATTTTACTTTGCTTTTGTCTTGACCAGCTTCTCCAGAATCATGCACCAAACGGTGAAGGAACTGTCACCAAAGTGTAATGTGTCCTTCCTCCTGTCTGAAGACGGCAGTGGCAAGGGGGCTGCCCTCATCACAGCTGTGGGCGTGAGGCTCCGGGGAGAAATGAGCTAAGGGCACAGGCCCCCGCCCGCTGCCCGTCCAGCACTTGTCTCTCAAAGCGACGACCCCCCTGTTCCTCTCAGCGAGCCGCGCTGGGAGCCCTCAGCGCCAGAGCCACCCCCCGCAGCGGGGAAGGAAAGCAATCCAACGAATGGCGCCTATCGTAGGGTACAACCTAGAGCGTGTGCTGTTGACCATCTCTCACTTGGACCCTCACCTGCCCCGCCACTCTGCATGATTTGATCTCCACCTGGTCGTGCATCCCCTCGTGTGAAGTGTAGCCGCACCCCTTCCTCCCGCGGGCGCCCATCCAGCTCAGATGAAAAGTCGCACCATCAGACGGGCCCTGTGGCCTCCAAAGCCCGTCCTCGGGGTTGCCTCCCCTGCGTGAAGTGGATTATCACCAGCAGTCACTGCCGGACTCTTCCCCCGGGCCCGGGGCCCAGCTTGAAGGGCGAGTGTGGACGCAGCGTGACCGCTATCTCCCGTCCCCGCCACCCACTGTGGCAGCCTGGCGGTCCCATCGGGGGATGTGTCGATGCCACTAGACATGTGTGTGTCCATGGAACCGGTCCTAGCCGCACTGTGACAGTCTTGCATTCTGTTGATCTCGTGGGGGGGGAGGTGGGAAGTCCCGTGGGAAAGTGTCTTGTCTCCATTTGGGTAAAAGGAACCGACCCACAAGCAGCGCCATCACTGGAATTTCCCATCGCTTTTGTGAGCCATGTTGTATGACCTAGTAAACTTTGTACCAATTCAAAAAGCCGAGTGATGCTTGGTGGCTGGGGAGAGGGGGGGAGACCTGGGGGTGTGGCAAAAGCCAGATGCTGGGGGATATTTGTGACTGTCTGGGTGGGCCAAGAGTCTAAAATAAAGATCACGGTCTTTGGCGCCCAGCCTGGGTCTGGCATGAGGACTTCTGTCGTGTCCCTGCAAACCATCATAGAAGTGGCCTCTCCCCTGGTCTCCAGCATCTGCTCTGTCAATGCCTCAAGTCCTGGCATCCCACACCCCTTCTGCAGGGCTGGAGAAAGGGAGGACTCTGGTCTCCCGTCCTCCACGCCTGTTAGAACAAAGGAAAGGGGTACTTGGCCTCCAGGGGCTGTGGGTCCTTCCCTCTGCCCCCTGCTCAGATGCACCCGGAGTCTGGAGGCAGCCAGGGAGGCAGGGTGCTGCGCTCCCTCCTTGAATCCCATCTGTAGGAAATTGGCCCTTTTCTGACCCTTCTACCCCCATCTATCCTCAGGGGGTTGTTATCAGGCCCCAGGGCTGCCACCCATCATAGATCCCTCCCACACCCTTGGGTGGATTTCACGCCAAAGCATCCAGGGTGCTGAGATGTCCCATCTGCAACTAGGAGTCCGAGTGGCTGCCCAGGACCGCCTGCAGGCTCACACGGCTTGGTGAGATCAGAGTCCTTTATTTGGGGCACCAAAGGAGCCAGTGTCTGCCACAGTGATCCCTGGGGAGCACACAGGTGACTTAGACTTTGGGTGTACATTGCAGTGTGATCTGGCTCTCCAGAGGGCGCTGGGCGTGGATGGTGAGTCAGCAGGTGGGAGAGGTGCCCTGTGGGCCAGGCCTAATGCCTCTGGACAGTTGCCGCAGAGCGATGGTGGGGGCTGACCTGTAGGTGGCGCTCATGTGAAGCGGCTGGTGTGGGAATGATAAGAACCAGGGCTGCCTTTCAACCTGGCACTGATTCTGTGACTTTTCCCGGCCTGTGATTTTGCCACTGGGCAGAGGAAGAGGCTGAGGGTCAGAGTGACTTGCCCAAAGCAACTCAGCGGAGATCCCATTGGATTTAACCACCCTCTACTCTGGGCTGTATCTTGAGTTATTTTGATTTTGAGACAGAAGCCAGCCCTGGGTCCACTTACAGCTCATGGCTTTGCAAAAATAAGAAGACTTCTTCCCTGTGTCGTGGGCCTCGTAACAAATCAGGGTCATGGTCATGTGCTGCCCCAGATGAGTTTTGTTTCCTTACCCAACGTTTATAAACACTTGGGTGAGCCACATTGAACAGGTCTAGAAGTTTCACATGCAAATTTGGATTTCCAGCTTTTCTTGAAAGATATACCCACAGCGGGCTCCCATCACATCCCCACATGACAATTGTCCAAGGGGGTGACACCTGGCCCTGGATCCAGGCACGAGGCTTCAGAGTTCAGCAGGCTTCCCCTCTTGGGGACCTCCACCCAGCCTTCCCTCTAGGAACTTCAGAAGGGGCCACATCCCCGGCCATGAGCAAAATCTCTTTCGTGTGACACCTCTTGACCCTCATGGAAAGGGATGGAGTGGGAGTCAGCTCTAGTTTATCTTCCTCGGTTGGAGTGACCCACGGGCAGCACCGGAAAGCAAGGCGGAATCCCGAGCGGAACCTGGGGAACGGAGGGTCAGCTTCAGCCAGGGAGTTAGGGTTCAGGGGCTGTCGCGTGACTTCTCCCAGCTCCAGGTGACTGTCTGGGGGAAAGTTGCTGCCTCTGAAGAGCCCACCGTTCCCATCGCTCAGGGGTTCTTGAGAGATGCATTTTTTTTTTTTTTTTTTTGGAGAGGGGCACTAGGGATGGAACCCAGGGACACCTTACACTGAACTACACCCCCAGCTCTTTTACACTTTATTTTGAGGCAGAAACTGGCTGAGTTTCCCAGCCTGGCTTTGAACCTTCACTCTTCCTGCCTCGGCCTCCCAAGTTGCTGGGATTATAGGTGTGCAGTACCACCCCTGACTAGAGATGCGTTCTTCAATGGATTTGATTTTAGGAAACAGCCGTAAGTATTGCTGGAGTTTAATCTAGTGACCGAAGTGGGTGAGGAAGCTGACTTAGACTATTTGTTATTACAAATGAAAAGAAGCAATCATTTAAAAGAATCATGGATTTTCTTGCTTGTCTTATATAAACCGTCTTCTAAAGTAGTATTCAAAGAAAGGTTTAAGAAATTGGGGCTCTGGCCATGCTGGTGGACGAGGGGTGCCCTCCCTGTGGGCTCCTATGAAGAAAAAAGTTGGGGTCCATAAGCTTAAAAAATGACTCTCGCCCACAGCAGCACTGAAGTTCCAAGCTTAAAGTGGAGCTCAGAGGAAGCAGATTGGTGAGTGGAAATGGGTTGGCAGAAGGAATACTGGAGGCTTAGGGCAGAAATAAGGAGAACCCCGTGCAAGCTGGTGCGAGAGCGCGGAACTGCACCGTCCCTTCCTGAGCTGCAGGGCTCCCTGTCTTGGAAGAGCCTGCCTCGCTGGGGATCCTCTTCGTGCAGCTCCATGGTGGGGCCTGACAAGTGCCTATTTGCAAGCCTGGTGGCCTCTAACTTACACCCACATCCAACCCAGCTCCCCACCGTCCTCCCCTGCCCTCCCCCTGCAGTCTTCCCCAGCTCAGCTCCTGATAGCTCTCAACTTCTGACCACCCAGGCCAAGAACTTGTTGAGAGTCATCTTTGACTTCTTCTCACTGGTGACCTCCTGTCCATCAAACTCCATTGGCAGCCTGGCGCTCTGGTGCACATCTAAGATCCCAGCAGCTCGGGAGGATCACAAGTTCAAAGTCAGCCTCAGCAATTTAACAAGGTACCAAGCAACTCACTGAGACCCTGTCTCTAAATAAAATACAAAAGAGGGCTGGGGATGTGGCTGGTTGAGTATCCCTGAGTTCAATCCCTGGTACCCACCACCCCCCAAAAAATTCCATTGGCAATATCCAGACCCTGACCACATCTCACCCCAGTTGAGACCATCTTTAGCTGGATCAATGCCAAAGCCTCCCTGAAGCCTTTCCCTTGGCCCCTCCCCTTTGGTATAGTTCCAGTGCAGTGCTGGACTGAGTCTTCCAAAATGTCGGAGCATGTGTCTCCCCTGCTCAGAGTCCTGTGGTTCCCCATGTTCAAGTACAAGCCCAAGTCCTGACCTTGACCCCAGGGCCGTCCTTCAGTCGTTCCTTCTGCCTGGAGCACTTGTCCAGTCTGCAGGGCTGACTTGCTCATTCCCATTTGCAGATGCAAAAAGCACCGTGGGCCTCTAAGTCCTTGAGCACCTGGGAGCTCAGGTCTGCGTGTGTGATGGGGCAAGGCTCTGGGGAGGAGTTGGAACTCCATCTAGGGGGACCTGGAGGATGACATCCCACCTAGATGGGAGGGGAGGGGCTCAGGCAGGGACAAGGTGGAGACTCATTTGTGCAGGGGACCTGAAGGGGCTGTCCCTGGCCTGGAAGCAGAAAGGACCTGGTCCTGTGGCGCTCACCTGTGGTTGAGGCTGCAGTAGATGATGGGGTTGTACATGGTGGAGCTCATGGCCAGCCAGAAGAGCGCCAGGTACACCTGCTGGATGAACTTATGGCAGTAGATGTCCTCCCGGAAGTTGCCCAGGATGAAGTAGAGGTGGTAGGGCAGCCAGCAGATGGCAAATGTCACCACCACCAGCACCATGGTCTTCACAAACTGCTCCAGAAGAGCATCAGGTCACTCCTCAGCCCCTGAGTCCCAAGCGCTAACCCTCCTAGGGCATCGGGGGAGGCCCTCCGTGATCAGACCGACCTCTCTCTTCTGCCTCCACCTGGAGCTGCTGCCCAGATCTCCTGAACCCCCACCTCAGGGTCTGCACTCTTCTGCTCAACTGCTGTCCTGCCTTTAAAGCCACACTCCTAGAAGCCAGCCCAACGGTGACCTCAGTGGCCTCTCCTGCTTGGAGGGGAGGAGCTCACTCCTAAGCCCACCCTTGATGGGGGCTGTACCAGCTCTGAGGTCCCAGGCTCCTGTTTCCCTGGGATCTGTGTCTGTCACTGAGCTCCACCCAGAGTCCTCCACCTCTGCCTGGGGACCAGGTCCCTTGCCACCAACCCCCAACACCTGGCCTCTGCAGGCACACCCCAAGAGGGATGAGGCCAGCTAGGGGTGGCAGATGGAGACCAACACCTCGCGGGTTGCGGGGAGAAGGGGCACGATGGCAGCTCTCTAATCAGAAGCCACACTGCCATGCAGTTTCTAGGTCTCCAGGTCTGCAGTTTCAGCCTTTAGGGATTCTGAGAGTCCAAGGCACCTCCCTATGTACTTCCGGGGCTTGTCTGAAAATCAACATTCCAATTATTCAACATGCTAACATGTTAGCATTCTGTTATTCTGAGATTCTTGGAGGGATCTGAAATGCTCTGGGCTTCAGGACTTCCTGATCCCCCAACCTTCCAGAAGTTCCCTCCAGTTTGTATTTGCCCAAAGACCAAAGGCCAAGCCACCTGCCAGGGACAAAGGATGCTCTATCCCTCCCTAGACTTGCCATGGCAGGGTCCTAGGCCCTCATTGGCTGGTTCTGAGGGTTCTGAGATGGCCAGGGTGACTCCTAGAGGTGGCCACATCCCGCCCCTGGCGCCTACCTTCTTCTTGGCCTGCAGGTGGCGCAGGTTGGCACCGTGGACCTGGTGTCGTGGGACAGCGCGCCTCCAGAGTGTGAGGCCAATGATGCTGTAGGCAATGAACATCACCAGGAGGGGCAGGAGGTAGATGAGGGCGATCACCACTAGGTGGTACCTGGAGTAGAAGCCAGGAGTTTGGACAGTCAGTGGCCGGTAGTGACTCCCATGTCTTCTCCTGCTCATTGGGGGGACTCTGTGGCCCTCACCCTGCACCACCTGTTGCCCCCCAACCCTGGTTTGATTTAAAGAAAAATAAATGCAACCTTGGCTTGTGCCAAAAGAGGGCTTCTCCTGCAAAAGGGTCACCAGCATTAGCCCCACAAGCTTCATGTGACAGACAAGTGCTTACCAGAAAAAGGAAAGAGAAGCAAAAAAAAGTTAACAATTTGTTTAAAATGTAAAACACTATTAGGCTGGAAGGAGAAAGCAAAATTACTTGTCTCACTCCCATCACTATTTACACTTTGGGCGGGGCGTGGTGGTGCACACCTATAATCCTAGCCACTTGGGAAGCTGAGGCAGGAGGACCGCAAGTTCAAGGCCAGCCTCAGTAACTTAGAAAGGCCTTAAGCAACTTAACCAGATCTTGTCTCAAAACAAAAAAATAAAAAGAGCAGGGGATGTGGCTCAGGGATTGAGTGCCCCTTGGCTTCAATCCCCAGCATCAAAATCAAACAAAATTAAAAACCACCAACTTGGTATAGTTTCTTCCTGAAGTGCATGTGTAGGTCTGTATGTGTATGTCCATGTGCATGGGAGTGCGTTTATGCATGTGTCCATATTTGTTAGAGAGACCATGTATCTACCCTACGTCCAAGTGGATGTAGAGGACGGCTGGCGTTAAGAAGGTGCCACCCTATCCCCGCATCCCTATCAAGTCACACACCATGGCATCATCTGCTTCCTGCTCACCAGCCTTCGGTTGGGCACAAGGCTTGTGTCAGCAAACACCCCTGTGCCCACCTTTGAGCAAGTGGCCCAGAACACCATTGCATGGCTACCCACCCAGTCTCCAGAAAGACTGGAAGGAAGGGAGAAGGAGCAGCCTGTGCCGGGTTTCTGTCACCCTACACTCAGGTTGTGCTGACTTTTCATTTCCTTTGGGAAAGAAAGACAGTGTCAAGGAGCTGTGTGTCCCTGCAGGCTGAGGGCTGACCCCCAGGCAGGGCTGCAGAGGGGCTTCTTGGAGCATCCCAAGCCTTAGACACCCCCCCTCCCCATCCTGCCAAGTGCCTTTTCCCTTTCTAACTAGAAAAGCGGAGAGGATCCCAAGCCCCGCCTCCACCCAGCATGTGCCAGCCGTGCAGGTCCCCATGTAGGAGGCTCCACCAGCCTGAGGGAGGGAGAAGGTGGCTCCGACAAATCTCTTGTAAAGCATCGTGTTTAGAATTTCACTTGCTTTCCTTGGACAAACGTGTCAATCACAAAAGGTATGGGGATACCTAGGTGCCCCGATTCCCTGGTAGGTCCTGGGTGTAAGAGCCCCATCACTGAGCAGGTAGGAAGGGAGAAGGAGCAGGCTGTGCCGGGTTTCTGTCACCCTACAGAGTGTCTAAGCTAGAAGGACCCTGAGAACCAACAGGGCCACCTTGCCTCGGTGTCCTCAGAGAAGTGCAGGAAGTATGTTTCCTAGGAATCAAGACTTAATCAAGACCCAAACCATCTCCGTTTCACCGAGGCTGTAGGAGTCAGAACGGGGCTCTAATTGAAAGCATGATCTTGGCAAGTCAGGTTTCTCCCCCAGCCTCAGTTTCCTCATCTGTCAAGTGAGCAGGTAACCTCTGTCCTTCCCATGTGTGAGCAACATTCTATTCTTTTCCAGGGACATAGTTCAGGATAGGAATTCACCCTGGGCTAGGTCCCCATGAGGAGTGTTGAGGACAGCTTCTAGAATCTGCCCAAACCAGGGAATCTGTCCTTCTTGTATCCAAATTTTAGGGGTAAATGTGTATTTCCTGGAGGCCGCATCTGTACCTTCATCTGATTCCTACACTCACCCAGGTGTGAGCCTGTGAGGATAGAGCCCCAATCTCAATTTACACCAGCGGCTCCCCCCAACACACTGATTCTCACACAGAATCAGCCTTCCTGAAATCCCCATCAAAATTCCAGTAACACCAAAGTACCCCTTCCCCAGCCCACCCCTGTGCTCTTCTTACTTTTCCCTGTTGCCTGGATCAGGGCTGGAATTCACCATGCACAGAGGGTGGGAGCAGGGTCCCTTCCGTTCTTACTGGCTCCCCTCTCAAGGAGGAAGTCCCCATTAAAATGGAGAAATACTGCCCCCAGTGGCCAGATCCAAAATACTCTGCTCTCTACCCCTCTCCTTCCCCTCCATGGATGCAAACTTCAGGGACCAGTGGGGTGCAGGGCAGAGGCAGAGAGACCCTGGACAGGGCCTGCCCTCAAGGCCAGCAGTCCCCAGTAGCAACCTTATTGTTGGGATGGTGTCTTCTGTGGCATGGAATGACCCTCTTCAGGAAGGTGCTCAGGAGAGATGGGGCCCAGGGAGGGATGGGTATTGGAGAAGGAGTGTTAAAGGAGACGGGGATGGGGACTGTGTTGCCATGGTTACCAGGAAGCTATCAGCTAAGAGTGCACACATCTGCAAGCCTGGGGCAGCTGGGACTTCACTGGACTGGATATGCTACCTCCGGGTGTGCCTTTGTCTGTCTCCTCTTTAATCTACCACGTACTGGGCATGAGTTCTGTGCCAGGTACAGGGCTAAGGGCTTCGAGGACATGATCTCCTATTACTAATCCTCATTTTAGAGAGAAGACAAAGGCTCAGAGAGGTTAAGTGACTAGAGAGTCGTCTAGCCAGGAGGGAAGAAATAGGCCAAGACACAGGCCTGGCTACTAACTCCAAAGTCTCCGTGGATTCCTCTCCTCTACTAACCAATGGTGCCAGGCTTGGGGGTCACAGAGCCACATGGTGAGAACCCTGGGAAACAGGCCCAGAACTGGCAAAGGACGCAGCCAGGGTCACGCAGCAGCCAGGTCATGCTTGGGTTTTTCTTCCCTCCCCTCCTCCCCTCCCCCAGCCCAGGATGCCCACCTCGGCATGAAGCAGGCACCAGGCATTCCCAAAACACGTGACGTGTCGAGCCGCACTTGCCATATGCATACACACATTGTACTTATTTCAGGACACACACATCTTAGGTGGCAGGGTGGCCTGTTTGAGTCCTTGTCTCACCACGTCCTAGTTGTGTGGTCTTGGGCATGTTATTTGGGTTTTCAGTGCCTCTGTTTCGGGGCAACAGAGAGAAACCCTGACTCAAAATTTAAAAAGACTGGGGATGTAGTTCAGTGGTAAAGTGCCCCCACTCAAGCTGCAGTATGGAAAAAAAAAAAAAAAGGTGCTTAGAACAGGCCTGGCAGTTAATGTTCCTTTTGGTACAGATGGCACCCCAACATGTGTATTTTTTTTGGAGGGGGGTATCGGGGACTGAACTCGGGGGCACCTGACCACTGAGCCACATCCCAGCTCTATTATTTAGAGACAGAGTCTCGCTGAGTTGCTTAGCGCCTCGCCCTTTGCTGGGGCTGGCTTTGAACTCGTGATCCTTCTGCCCTGGCCTCCTGAGTCGCTGGGATTACAGGCCTGTGCCACTGCACCCAGCTCTGTCATGTGTTTTGATTAAATGCTTCTCTTGACTTTATGATGATGCTGAGGTTATGGTCATTTGCTAGAAATGGAACTATGAAGTTTGAACTCAGATTTTTTCCTGGGCTAGTGATTTGTGACATGATCTCTCTCAGAATTCTGAACAGTAACAGCGAGACTAGCAGCACCCAGTTAATTCTGTAATGACGAGGAGTGACAGGTGACACTCTACAAGGTGCTTTGTGGCTGACCTAGGATATGCAGGAGGGTAGGTGCACAAGATATCTTCAACTTAGGCCGGGTTTAGAGGGAAGTGAGCCCATTGCTGAGGATCCTTAGTATAAATATGTGCTCACATAATCCCGTTAGAACTCCCAGATCCCGTGCACGCCCATGAGCACACACTACACACACGGCCGGGAATGCACACACGAGCATGTGCCTTGTGTCTCTGTACCCTCGCCCCGGGAGACCTTACTGGAGGAGTGACTTGTCCCTGCTGTCTTCAGGCCAGGCCACCACGCACTTGGTGGCGCCCTGGTCCACGGTGATGGTGGAATAGAAGCACTGGGGGAAGGCGAGGGCCAGGGCCACCAGCCAGATGCCCGCGATAACTGCCTTGGTGCTGGGGGCGGAGAGCCGTGGCTGAAAGGGATGGACGATGGCCATGTACCTGTGGGCAGAGCACAGAACGAGTGGTGAGAGCCCTCCTGTCCCACCTGTCCCCTTCTCCATTCCTCTGCCCAGGTCTACATGCTGCTGACCATGTCCACGGGTGTTGGAGTTATGCCAGATCTGCAGAGAGTGGAACTGGGGACTCTCACAGCCACATAGAGATGTCCTACGTAGGCACCATCCTGTTCCGTAACCACTAACCACGTGTGGCCAGGAGTACCATACGCATGGCCAGCGTGACTGGGGAACTGAATTTTAAATTTTAATTTAAGGGATTGGGGATGTGGCTCAAGCGGTAGCGCGCTCGTCTGGCATGCGTGCGGCCCGGTTCGATCCTCAGCACCACATACCAACAAAGATGTTGTGTCGGCCGAGAACTAAAAAAATAAATAAATATTAAAATTCTCTTCTCTCTCTCTCTCTCTCTCTCTTTAAAAAAAATTAATTTAAACTTAAAGAGCCACATATTGGACAGCACAGGCCCAAACCTTTAAACTTGGCCCTCGAGGCCTCTGCACGTGGCCAACGCACTGGCCAGCCTCCTCCCACTGCCTCCTGAGCCTCCCGGGCTCACTCTGGCCATGAGCCAGCCCTGCAGGGTCTTCTTGGGCCTTTCCTTCCATCTCAGGCTGCAGCTCCTCCTTCCTCTCTGTGTTCATCAAAGTTCCCTGAAGACCTGCTCAACTCGGGTCTCTCTCTGGGGGACTGTGGGGATTACAGCTGCTGTTTGGCAGCCCTGTGCCTGGTGGGGTGCAGGGCCCACCACCCACTGGTCTTAGATGGGGATTATTTATTTCCACACTAGGTGACAGGCTTGGAAATGTGGAGAGACAGCCAGCTTAGGAAAGGCAGAGCTGGATTTCAGCCCTGGTTGGTCCAGCTGTGTGCTCCTGGGCTGTGAAGTCCCCTGTTCCCAGGACCTGTACAACACTGTAGGAGGGTCCTGGGGCCTGGTGAGCAGAAGCCTCGTGAGTCTAGAGCCCTGATCAAGGAGGGTGAGCTGCACGTCTCTCCAAGGTCAAAGGATCCAAAGGGCACCGTTCAACACAGGCCTGGCTGCCCACCCCGAGTCCCCCAATATGCAGTGTGACCTAAGGTCTTGGTTTCTCCCTCACTAGAAGGAGGAGGTGAGACTAGATTAGTGGGTCTCTTTGTGTCCTGGGCCTGTTGCTGTCCAGTGGAGCCCATGGACCCCTCCTTAGAATAAGATTTGGGGGTGGGGTACTGGGGATGGAACACAGGAGCACTTCACTGAGCCACATCCCCAACCCTTTTAAAAACGTTTTTATTTTTATTTTTTAATGCTGCGACAGGGTCTCCCTAAGTTGTTGAGGATGGCCCCAGACTCGGATCCTCCTGCCTCCTCCCAAGTTGCTGGGATCACAGGTGTGTGACCCTGCACCTCGCTAGAATGAGATTTTTTAAAAATATATTTATTTTTTAGGTTTAAGTGGACACAATATCTTTATTTTACATTGATGTGGTGCTGAGGATCGAACCCAGTGCCTCGTGACTGCTAGGTGAGCGCTCTACCACTGAGCCACAACCCCAGCCCTAGAATGAGATTTTTTAAATGAATAAATTATAATACTCAGGATTACAAAGAGCATCAGTCATACTGAAGCACAGTTATCAAAACATAAAATAAATTTGGGAAATTGTAATATATGCACTTTTTTATTAACACACTAAACAACAAGATCTAGCTGCAGATCTGGAACCTATGGTAATTTTGAAATAGTGATTGTGTAACCACACAAGAATCTATGATCGATCTCTCTCTCTCTCTCTCTCTCTCTCTCTCTCTCTCTCTCTCTCCCCTTTTTGTGTGGTTCTGAGGATCAAACCCAGGGCCTTGCACATGCCAGGCGAGTGCTCTACCACGGAGCTACACCCCCAGCCCACAAGTATCTATGATTTCTGTTGGTGACAAAGCCCCGGGTGCTGCTGGGGTCCTGGAGAAGTGTGCTTGCTGCCTACCTCTGTGCTTGTGTCGATTTTGTCCCCACATGAGTTCAGGAACCTTGTGGTTTCTGCCCATGGTCTGCGGTCATGGGTTAGGTTCTCCTGGACCAGATGATGTTAGTGTCCTCCCTCCTGGTCCTGTGACACGGACCTCCCCTGACTACCACAGGAGCTCGGGCTTTGAGCACGTGATTATTCCTACTTATTCACTTCCTTTACATTGACCAGAAATGGCCTTGGTACCTGGTGACCCCTGGCTCTTTCTCCCCTGGATGAGTCCAAGCCTTGGGACAAGGCAAGGACGATGGACTGTGGCCTCAAATTCTACCCCCTACCCAGCAGGGCAGTTCCCACCCGGTGTCCCACCCGGTGTCCCAGGCGTAACGGGAGCTCTGACTGCTCTGTGAGCTTTCCACCTTCTGCCTGGAACAGTCACCCCCAGAGGTCACTCATCCCCTCCTCCTGGGTGGCTCAGATCCACCCTCACAGGTCCATCCTGATGCCCGTTTAACATGACAACCTGCCCCACCTCCCCTCTGATCTCTGATATTTTTTCAAAGCCTCATGACCTCAAAACACAGCCCGGAGTTCATGGGTTCAGGTGCTTATGGTTCAGACTCTCGCCAGGGGAGGCTCATTACCCGTTTGTTTTTTCCTTCTCCCAAACACCCAGAATAACATCTGTACTTGGCAAGCACGGGACGTGTATTTGCTAAATAAATGAAGAAACAGGGAAACGAATGAAGGCATTTCCACTGTGAACTGATCTGAGCTGCCCGCCTCGTCACCTGGATTATTATTCAACAGCTTCCTGCCTGGTCTCCCGGCTCCCCCCCTGCCCTCCACAGCACCCCCTGCCCCCACAGCACCCCCT